ATACTGCAGGAAACAGTTCTAAGAAAGTTCTCTTTCCTGTCTTTAGGAGGTAAAATTAAAAATACAGTGAATGCTGCTGCTGGATTCTAACAGTAAAACAGGCTAATAAATCACTGCACACCTAACTCAGCTTGCGCTGAACAGTGTACAAATGTTCCTGTATACCCTTGATTCAGGCAGATTGGGGCTGGGGGCTCAGCAGCACGCACAGGCTTTTCTTGTCATCAGCTGCAAACTTCTAACTCTTCTTTGAGAGCACAATGTTTATTTATATGTTCTCTCTATAGATAGATGATTGATAGATAGATAGATAGATAGATAGATAGATAGATAGATAGATAGATAGATAGATGATAGATAGATTCTCCTAACCTCCACTATTCTAAGGGATGTTATCTCTTTTATGTTTATAGGTATTCTGCCCCAAGTTGAATACCTATAAAATTATGTTGTGTTTAAACCCCAAATTTTCTAGGACACAATTTGTTTTCTCCACTACACTGTAAACCACAGCATTTCAGGTCCTGGGTTATCTAGTGACTGTGCTTTCCAAAGCTAAACTGAGATGTAAATATTATACCTTTTCCAGAGGTGCAAATATTATAGCACAAGTTAGTCACCCAGGAGTTGAGGAAGGAGCTAAGGAGTATGGCAGGTGTTGAAAGTGACTGTCCTCATGTGGAAGTTTCCCCCTCCACAGCTTGGCAGCCTCCACTGGCATCGATTTCTCCAATGACTGTATTTCTGAATAATGGATAGAGTTAAGTGAATGGGGCTCCTTCTTTTCACCAAGTTCCCCTTGAGTGCTTCTGCCACGTGAGGCAATCTGTCATGCTTTGTGTGTAACAGTGCATAGGGTTCTTAAAGAATGAATTTTAAACTTTCTCTCCCTGTTTACAAAGTTCTCAGGTTCAAAACATTCAAAGCCCTGATTGGGCAGTTGGACCAGCAATGTTAGCAGGCCCCAGTCACTCTAAGCTCAGAGCCCCTACTGCTCTTCGCATCTTGCTTCAGTTGCTCCCCCCCTGAAAGACCCAATTACAAAGGTTCGTAAATTTTTCCACAGAGATTACATTTGGCTCTTTAGCAAGAAAAATGCCACCTCAATTAGTAGCTCTGGGGAAGCATTAGCCACTTGTGTACTATTCCTGAAGAACCCATTGTGGGATCCGGGCTTCCTTTTAGAGTGTTAACACTTCTTAACCATTTGGAGCATACTTACAATCTACAGTGATGCCTTCGTAAGGACGCCTTTGTTACATATTCCAGATCAGAAGGTATTACAGCATCATGTTGGTATACAATAAGGCCCTGGGTTTCCTTTCACCACCCACCTCCAGCTTAGGTGCTCTTGGTCCTCCTTAGCACCAAGAGTACCCTCTGATGCACTTGCCGAAACTCTGCTCCCAAAATGAAGGAATGTACCTTTGTGGAAGTTAGTCATTTCCTAGTTGACATTCTAATAAGGACCCCATGTTTGGGTGATAGCCCAATGGAACGAATTCTCCTCTCCCTCTTGCGGTCAGGAAATAGCATGTGGAAATAAATCAGACGTTCTGGGGCCTTGTGTGCGCTATTGTCTACTGTGGCAAAGTAGATGTAAGATGTAGCACCACATGTTAAGGTTAATCAATTTGGAAAGAATAAGAAATAAGTAGAAAACCAGAAGGAGTATGATTTCATCTTTCACTGGTTGAGTCTGAGACTTCACAGGTACTTTTCAGGATTAGAAGCAGCTGTTAAGTTTGCAGCAGCTGTACAAATAGTGCAGGCAGGGAAGGATTTGGTTCATGGACTGGCAGAAACCAGAATTTATTATAGCACCCAAGCATTAATGCGGAGCATAATTGTCATGCCATCCCACCAAAGCCAACAGTGCCAAGACTCTCTAAATGGCTTAAATTAAATATTCGAAAGTCAGAGGGACTTTTCCTTGCAAAAAATAAAACAGCCAAGTAGGAAGAATTTACATAAGGGAAGGGAAAATATGTATGTTTTGATAATACATTGTTAATTTTTTTTAATTTCTGTTATGCAGCAGCCATCTAAAGTTTTAAAACTAAGGCCGGTCAAATAGCTCAGCAGATTAAAGCAGCTGTTTAGGCAGACACAGGGGCTGGGAGTTCGATCCCCAGGCCTGCCATACAGGCACTGCCCCCCAGGGCGCACTGAGATGGTGATTGAGACTGGGCGTGGTGGCACGCACCTGTAATCCCAGCACTTGGGAGGCTGTAAGCTGGAGGATCACTGTAAGTCTGATCTATGCAGTGAGACACTGTACACCCTGTACACCCTGTCCTAAATATAATAAATAAATAAATAAATGTAAAGTTTTAAAATTTTTTAAATATATGGGGTTCGGTTTATCCAACCATTTAGATTTTCCAAGCAAATTAAAAGAATGAGATCCTTTACAATGAGAAAAGTTGACAAAAAAACAGATGGCAAACCTTGACATAGGACAGTGTCCTATCTACTAAAGACTTGGAATACTTCTTCTAGACGAAGAGACTAATCTTTTCTCTCCAGAAGTCTGAATCCTCACCTTGTTAGTCAGGTTTTGAGATTTCCCTATAAACAAGTGGTGGTGCACCCCGTCATCTCAGCTACCCAAAAAGCTGGCAGAGAAGCGTCACAAATGCAAGCCCAGCCTGGGCAAATTAGCCAGAACCTGTCTCAACATTAAAAATTAAAGGGGACCAGGAGGCCAAAGGGTATAGTTCAAACCTGTCTGAACTGAATCCCTAGTACTGAAAGGAAGAACTTTTTTTTTTCTAAATAGCTGATTTTCTTGGATTGTTGAAAATAAAAATTGGTTTTCATAACTTTTGGCAAAATACACATTGCATAAAGTACAGTTTACATTACTTCCTCCATCTTTTCATATTGTTTGCTTAAAATTCAATTTAGGAAGCCATTTACAGTACTTGAAAGTGGAGAGCAGCAGTTTGTCATTCTTACTCTCTCATGGTTTTAGTTTCAGAGTGCTAATTCTCCCCTTGCTATCTTCATTCCAGTTTACAGCCCAGAGTTTCCGCAAATGGAAACTTGAGAGAAGTCGGCACCTCGAGAGCAGTGTCTTTGGTGCAGGCCGTGTTCCCCAAGTCCCCTGTCCCAGTGAGGTCATCACGGAAGCCCAATAACCCGCAGACTTCGTGTCACTTGGTGATTTCTATGAAGTTTCACTGAACTGTAATACATTATTCTTCAAGTGATACCATTTATAAAATGAAAATTTTCCTTTTGATTCTTTATAAGAAATTAGTTTTTGTTGATATAAGATATTTAATTTTTTTTAGGTATTTGGTACGGGATCTCACTATGCAGCTCAGACTCATAGTGATCCTCCTGTTTTCAGCCTCTCCAGTGCTGGGATTACGGGCATGTATCACCGCAACAAGTCTACTGGTGGCCGGCTCAGCACGCGTGGGGGCAGGGCTGGCACAGCATATGGTGCCGGGGATCAAACCCTGGTTCCTGAGCTTGCCTAAGCAGGCATTTAGTCAGCTGAGCTATCTTACCAACCTTATTTAATATGTTTTTTTAAAAACATTTAGAATTTACTTTTTCAGTATGGGTGATTGAACCCAAGGTCTTCATTATAACCCCGCCTTGATTTGTTCATTTGTTTTATTTTGCTTTGGGGTGGTTTGGTTTGGTTTTCAAAACATTCTCTTACTAAGTCACTAAGTTGCCCAAGTAGGGTTCAAACTTGTGATTCTTTCCTTAATCAGCTTTATTTTCTTCTGAGCCCTAGTTTCTTTCCTACTTAGTACTGATAATAGCTTACAGCCATTTTATTTGTATGTTTACACATTCTTTGCTTCTTTTCCTGGCAAAACATAAGCTCTATCATGATATAAACCTTGTCTCTTTTCATGACCACTGTATGCTTAGGGCTGGGAACAGTTTCCAGCATTCCTTAGGAGACGCTCTAGAAGCTGTTTTCAGATGAATGAGTGAATGGATGAATGAACCTCCACTTAACCTAAAAATCTGATGATATACCACTAAATATTTCAATTAAATATAAAAATTGGCAACAGTAGCCACTTATTTTCCTAATGTTCAAAGTAACATATTCTTATAAAAGTAGTCATGTGACCTCAGCATTATCTGGGAAGCAAAATGTTAGTATTTTTCTGAATTTCTGAATTTTTATAAAAGCTCTGAGGCTGCTTTGTGTTACAATATTTTTCAGCCTTTTAAAAATATGAAACCGAATAGAATAAAAAATCATCAGCATGCATTGCACAGGACAAAGATAGTTTCAAAAAACTTTTCTATGTGTCAGAGGCGGAGCGATCACATGTAACATTGTTTTGCACAGTGATTCAAAGTCAATATACACTCTGGCATTTTCCTTGTTATCCTAATCCTTTATCTGGCTGCTGTCATAGCTCTTCAAAGCCAGCCTGAATTGTCATTCTGCAGTGTTATGATTCCTGAAGGCCTGTTTGCAATGGAGGCTTTCCCATAAATGCGCACAAAAATTCAATTTCTTAATATTTTCTCCTAGATCAATCTGCCTTAATCTCTCTCAGAATGCGTGACCTTACTCTAAAGTACCTTCCCAAGTCTTTGTGGTGCAAGTGCTAGGCTGGTTTTAAGTTAACCAGCAAAACACACACACACACACACACACACACACACACACACACTTCACCAGAGTAAAACTGGTGAGATCTGCTACTCTTTTAGAGAAGGGTCTACAGGGTTTCAGGATCTCACTACTAGATCAGACTCATAGTGATTCTCCTGTTTGTAGCCTCCCAGTGCTGGGATTACAGGCGCACACCACCACGCACAGTCTCAATCGCCATCTCAGGGCGCCCTGGGGTGAGACCAGCATGGCAGGCCTGGGGAATTAAATCCCTGGCTCATGCTACTCTCTAAATCAATAGAATTTTGAAACAATGATTGACAAACAGTAGAAATCGTTGCTAACATAAAGTGTGCTAACTTCTTTTTTCTCCTTTTGTCTCCCTCTCTCCCTTCAGCTGCCTGCCTTGTGCTTGGCTGTATGATCTTCCCTGATGGCTGGGATTCAGATGAAGTAAAACGGATGTGCGGAGAAAAGACCGACAAATACACTCTCGGGGCTTGTTCTGTCCGCTGGGCATACATCTTGGCGATCATTGGAATTTTGGATGCCCTGATCCTCTCGTTTCTAGCATTTGTGCTTGGAAACCGACAAGACAGCTTGATGGCAGAGGAACTGAAGGCAGAAAACAAAGGTAAGACTGCCACAGGGGACTCTCGCAGACACTGAGCACAGCAATGGTGCTGTCGTTCTTTCCTGTCAAGGGCTAGTGCCTCACTGTGGGTCCAACTTGCTGTCTTTTAATAGTCGTTTAATTCCCAGACTTTCCCCAGACTCAAGTGCATGCAATTAAAGTACCTGCTTATCCTATTTATCACTGGAAGGCGTTCATCTTTCTGTGGCTCCTTAACTCCATTATCATTATTGTTTAAATGCGTTTTGTTCCAGTTTCTTCTTCCCTCTTTTTCTGATTTCAGGTTTATCCTTGGCAGTAAATGACTAGGATGCGACATTATAGGGAGATCTGTTTCTTTAAGTGGAAAAGATTTTTTTTCCATGTATTCAACTATTTTCTAGGATGAAAAAAAAATTCCTGGGAAATCTCTAAAATCATCATAATCACTTTATTTGAATTCAAACTCATCTTCTCTTAGAGAAGCGGTGATCCTGGTCCCAAACAGTTAGAGTTTGCAATTTAGCTGAATTTTAAATGCATTATCTGGATAATCAGAAGTCCTCAAAATTCTTTTCAAAAGAAAATCGCCTCTTGAAACACAATGAAAGTAGGAGAGAAAACATAAGTATATGACAGTGGCTATGTGAGAGAGGGCAAGTTATCATTCAAAAGACATCTTTTAGTTTTCTTTCCATATTTCATTTATCATGATAGAATTTTAATGTCAAGATTGTGTTACGGCTGTAGCTCATTATAACTGCTTCATCTTGGTGTTACCCTTAACTTTAATACTTTGAATTTCTCAACAGGCTGAGGCAGGAAGACAGCAAGTTTGAGGTCAGCCTGGGCAACTTAGTAAACCATGTTTCAAAATAAAATCACAAAAAGCTGAGAATGTGGCTTTTATTTTGTATTTTAGGGAAGGGTCTACAGGGTTTCAGGGTCTCACTACTAGATCAGACTCATAGTGATTCTCCTGCCTATAGCCTGCCAGTGCTGGGATTACAGGCGCGCGCCACCACACAAGACTCATACGTGAGGTTCTATGTTCAATGGCCGGTACTGGGGGACACTTTGGATTTCCATTAGCATCTTCATCTAAATAGCTCCTTCTTCTAAATTTCACTTATTCCAAGAAATTGCTAATTTCAAAAGCCCTTCCCTGTTTTAACAGGCCTCCGGTAGGAGGAGCCTGAGTGTCACATGGAATGATGGCATAGCAAGTTTGTGGCTAGACCATCACAGTAAATGAGAGAAAATGGGGCCGTCTAGGACAGCGTTCGGCCACGATTCCTGAGGTCGCGCATTTATAGAGAGAACCTGTGACACTCAGTCCTATCAAAACTATTCTACATACAAAAATAACTCAGAGAGAATAAATGCTAAAGCGTTGTAAAGACAAAGCTCCCTCCCTCTCAGGATTGCCCTTTCTAGATGAAAGGACAACGCAGAGGCAGTGACACTATCAGTGATGTTGCAGATTTGGTCCTTTGATTTGTGCTCCTTGCTCTGATGCTCTTCGCTGTCATTTTTGCAGATTGTTGGATGTACACAGGTCTCTTTCTAGTTCATTTTAAGTTTAAAGGTAAGAAGAGCTCAAAATGAGAACAAGCTATCTATCCTGAAAGAACAAAGGAAAGGCCGCTTTGTCTGCACGTTCTTGACTTCCACCACCACTCATAAGAGACCAGGGTGCTCTCTCTTCCCTGTAAAGCTCAAAGTAACATTGAGAAGCTTTAACTTCCCAGGCACCGTTTGATCAAAAATAGAAAAAAAAAATCAGAAAAAGGAAGATAAAAACAAAGCCAGGAAATTTTTCACTCACATACATAAATGCCAGTTCTCTTGGATTCAGGCTTAAGAAAGGTATGGCCAGGATTATAGGATAACAATCATTTTCAAAAATGGCCTTTTTTTCCTGGATGATTCTGTTGAATGTTGATATCTGCTCCCTTCCGGCCAGGATGGTCTTCATTAAACATCTTTTTTTTTTTTTTTTTGGTGGAACCGGGGATTGAACTCAGGCCCTTGTGCTTGCTAAGGAAGCACTTATTCCACTGAGCCATCTCCCAGTTCTTCATTAAACATCTTAATCAAAGTGTTTATGGGAAAGTTAAGAGGCTAACATAATATTTAGGGATTACCTGTGCGTGACTTTTCTGTGTTCCTCATTTTCTTCCTTTGCATGTGTCACCATGGTTTCTGCCATCTTGTCCCAAAGAATTAAAATTAGTATCAGTTCATCTGTATCAGATCAGCTAGACTGAATAGAGCAGCAGAAAGCGTGGGGCCACTCTAGGAAAACTTTTCAATTATACTGCACTTTCACTTCTTAATCCAAAGACCTTAATGTGAGACTCTGCAAAGATCTAAAGAGCTCTGTTACACAAGCGTGTTAGACTCCTTTGCATAAAGTCAGGCCAGGAGTTCTAAGCCATGCAGAAAATTTAATCATACCAGTATGCTTTTGAGAAATGATATAGGGTTTTCTGTTATTGTAACAAATTTGCCTCTATTGTGTAGTATTATTTTTATTCACAGATGGCTACAAATGTTTCAGTGTTTGTGCAGTGTCAAAACATCCAAAATCAGGGGACTGGAGAGATGGCTCAGTGGAATAAGCGCTTCCCTGGCAAGCACAAGGGTCTGAATTCAATCCCCGGTTCCGCCAAAAAAAAAAAAAAAAACCTTCCAAAATCAGATTACTCAAGAAAAAACAAGTGATTTTGTGTGGTGTATGTGTGACTATAGTTTCACTAAATATTAGTTTAATTAGTTTAAGTTCATACATGCAATAACCAAAAGTAAGTTTTACCGATATCCTAAGAGAGATTGTATTTAACTAAGATTAGAATAATTTCATTTATGAAATTGATCGCATACAAATGGATGTTCTTATAGTTTTCATTAATTTAACTAATATAATTTTTCACTTATTAAGACATTCTTTTCTCTAAGAGGGTTTTTTTTTTCTGCTAAAACTACCAAGATGTTCCTTGGTAGCCAAGATCTGATGTTTATTTCTGGGCAATGTAAGGAAACAGACAGATCTGGTTCTAGTTCAGAATGTTAAATGAATTCATTATCTTTGTGATGTCTTCTCATTCAAGAAAAGCAGGCAATGCCAAGTCTCAAGACTGAGTTCAAGGGGCTAGGGATATAGCTCAGTGGTATAAGTGCCTGCCTGTCAAGCACAAGGTCCTAAGTTCAATCCCTGGTACCACAAAAAAAAAAAAGGACTGAGTTTACAAGAATAAAGCATTCATACATTCCTATATTAATTATATCACTACCCACCCTATAATATCTTGTACATTTTTCTTCCTGTTTTATGGTCCACCAATCATGTCAACTCATACCCTGTTAGTAGCAGAAGCATTAAAGAAACTAAATTTGTAATTGTAGCCCTCAATCTGAAAGCTTCTATTTTTTTTTTGCAGTAACTTTGCAAAAGGATAAGACCTTTTTTATTTATTTTTTCCATAATTTTATTGAGAAATAAATAGCAATGAGATAGTTTCAAATGAAATTGGTAGGACAGTTCCAATAATTAACACATTGCATACTGCCTTCCTAGTGGTTATTTGTTGTACAAGAGATATCCTATTTACAAACACTATTAGACCAAATCCTTCTATTCCTTGAATTAAGAGAATGTAGCTATATATCTATCCTAACCATTTTGAATACACAGATACAAAATGGTCGTTCATCTATATCCCCCTTTTTTGTTTAGTTCCATCATTTAAATATTTTAGGTATGCCAGGGAGATGGCTCAGTGGAATAAATATTATAGGTGTGTGAACTCAGCAAAATATTCCAAAATAATCCAGTAGTCCATAACAGTATTGGGTCTTCCACTTGACTGGCAATGCCAGAAGTTGTTGACCTGAGTCCCCTACAGCTCAACATAACAGCATGGCTTTATTTCTTGTACTTTTTTTTATACTTTTCTGCTGGATGGTTAAGACCAAGATAAAGCAAGACCTATGTAACAAGAATTGTAGTGAAAGCATCTATTTTAAGTGATCAATGTCATGCTATGGCTGTATCTTCCTTTTTGACTATCATAGTTAATCCAGCCGCACACCTTTCCACTTACCTGGAACAACCTCCACTGCATTCCTGTTTTCTACGTGCAGATCATCATGGCAAGGACGCTGCTGTGATCCATGAGCCTTCTCAGCAGCCACCTAAACCAAAATCTGCTACGTGAATTCCAGAGTAGATCAAGGAAGGGAAGGGGCTCAGCTCTAAATGTTAAACTATTCTCTGTTCACAGCCTTAAGATGAAAGAGAATCTGAGATCCTGTTGAGCCATAAATTAATCATCACAAAGATACAATTCAGAGAAAACAAGGAGGAGGTACACAAGTAAAAATCTCCACTTCTGCAGACATTTCCAGTGGACTCATCCCTGTTCTGCTTCTGTTACTCCCCCCTTTTAATGCTTCCTTCAATCTTTTATAACTGTCTCCTTGCCCCAAAATGCAAAGATCATTTTAAAGAAGTCACTGCTGAAATTTATCATACATTGTAAAATGGAAAATTAGAAATAAAGGAATTTTAACATTATTTCAGATAGAAAGTAACAACCTTGAAGATGCAAATGTTGTTTAGAGAGGAAATCTCTATAAAACTTTCAGTCAGTCGGGCAGGGGTCTACCTGACAAGCTCAAGGAACCAGGCTCCATCCCCTGTACCGCATGCGTCTTACCTCCAGAACCCCAGGCGTGCTTAGCCGGCCCCAAAACCAGATGTGTGTGGCACACGCCTGTAATCCCAGCACTGGAGAGGCTGGAACAGCAGAATCACTACAAGTCCAAGCTTTGTAGTGAGCCCCTTTACCAAACAATGAATAAATCAATACAAGATTTAAAAAATAAATTGGGGGGCCACCAAGATAGCTCAGTGGACTAAGCACCTGTTAAGGCAAGAACAAGGACCAGGGTTTGATTCCCGGCACACTGAGGCAGCAACCAAGTCCTGGTGTGGTGGTGCATGTGTGTAACACCAG